ACAAATAACTTTCTATCATTTATATACAGTCTGACATTTCATAATAAACCTTCATTTATTATATCTTTGATATGAATTGCTTGATAATATAATGTACATTATTGTATATGTTTAGAATCAACCATGAGCTTTATGTATTATCGAAATAAAACTTATTTGACACTTAATCCAGGTTGTGTACTCATGCACTTACATTATTACATTTTTAGAAACCTTTGATTTTATTATTGATACTTACCTGTTCACATTTCACTCTCGTATACTTTTTTAAATATGATTTATATTAAATATTGATAATATAAAAAGTGCATTATGTTCTCAATTATGAAATTATATTTTCATATTATACATTATTTTAATATACTGTATATTTCAAGTCCTGGTTAAATGCAATTTATCATATATTAAACTTGAAATTTATTTTGTTAAAATTATTTTATATTTTATATAAGTTTATTACATTTTCTATTCAATTAAATAAATCAATTGAGTAAATAATTGGAATAAATCATAATTTATTAATATACTAAATGTCATGCTTGCTGTTTTGAATAAAAACAATAAAAATAAAATTTATAATTGTAATATCAAATTCTATAATATAGAATCTATATCATAATACAGTATCATAAGTTAATGCAGTAGTATGAATTCACTTATAAACATGTATAGTGTAATATTTTATATTATGAATTGTAAATTACAAATAATAGTCTTTCCAAAAACCATCACAAGTGGTGTGAAAGGGATTATCCAATACTCGACTCATATTCCGTGGATTCAAATCACGGACTGAAATCTCATTTCTGACCAATAGTTGCGGCCAAATGTCATCCGGTTTACTAAAAACAAATAAATAATTTGTTAAATAATAGACCTGGTTTAACAATATTTTTAAATATCAATTTATACCCAGTTTTAGCAAAATTGGTCTACATTTTCATGATATCTCTACTGAAAACAGTCTCTTCGTGACTGAATAGATCCGGATTAATGAAAGGTCTCCCAAATACAAATGGTATGTCAGCGCTATGACATACCTTTCCCGGTGGACATTCAGTGGCATTAGTCATGAATTGACTTTCAAACGTCAACTCATATGAGTACACATTTTTGCCAGGTGCATTTGTGGCAAATTGTTTTGCGAACAAATACGAGGGGCATTTAAATGCCAAATCACCAAGGAACACCTCGAAAGCCCGCACAATTTCTCCGGGATCTTTCGGGTCAATATTCTTGAGATAAAATTGTGTCACATTTTCGGCGTCTAATCCGTGATATGTCTGATTGATAGTCGACACCAATAACTTGAACCCCTCGACAGTTAGGTTGTGTACGTCGGGGAAGGTACGGCTTATAACACCTGAGGCCTCATCTGATGTCATTCCGGCCATTAAATCAATATCTATTAAAATATATATATTTAATAGTCTGTTACTTATAATAAACTTAAAGTTATTATAACCGAAATTAAACTTTTTGGTCTCAAATGCCTTTTGTTCAGAAATGGGAAGATATTCGGTGCCCAACACCGGAAATGTTATTGATGCCTCGTATTTTAGGAGTTCCTTTGAATCCACTCCTCGTAAACATTGTATCCATTGTTCAGTTGTATTGCATTTCAATTGTTCCGCCAATTTCTGGGCACTCGCTAAGGCTTCCGGTTTACTGATCACATCCCTGTCCTTGTTATACATATGGGCCCGCTCTCCATAATAGCCCTCTTGAATAGACCCTTAGATAGTGGAGAGACTATATGTGCGGACACCGACCAACTGCCGGCGCTCTGACCAAATATAGTGATCTGATCCCTATCCCCACCAAATAAATGTATGTTATCTCTAATCTGTAATTAATTATAGCATTAATTTATACTTTTCTGTAAATAAGTTTAATTATAATTTTCTGAATACCCATTTAAGTGCCAATAACTGGTCATAAAAGCCCACATTTCCGGGCGCGTCCTCCCGATCCCCATACAAGAAGCCAAACGGACCTAATCTATAGTTTGTGGCCACGAGTACGACATCATTAGTGGCCAAAACACTGCCGTTATGATCAGGTACAAATATTGAGCCACCGATTAGAGCTCCTCCGTGTATCGAAAACATCACTGGTTTTAGTGCCGGTGCTTCAAATGATGACAGGCTTTTGTTCACCACATTAGGTGTCCATACATTTAATACCAAACAATCCTCACTATACGTTAAGTTTGGTAACAGTTTTTTAGCATCAGGGTCTTCTATTTGCATACAAGAGTTCCCCAATTTTGTGCCATTGATTACATCCTAATTAAATGATTATAATTTATAATTTTATTCAATGCTTTGATTAATAATACCTTTTTTGGTGTTTTGATTGGCACTGGTTTAGCAAACATAAGCGCACCGACCGGTGGTTCGGCATAAGGTATACCCAAAAACTGGTCAACACTTGTGTTCAACACATCTATAGTGAGACCTCTCACTACACCTGATGTCGTGTTCACATCAATACTATTTGCACATTCAATGCAAACAACTAAACACACAAAACTAACTAATAAATTAAATTTGTTAATCATGATTTATAACTACATTTGTTTAATAGACTAAACAACATCTATTTATATACTAATTTAAAACCTAATCTCATATTATTTACTAATATCTAAGATATATTTGAGATAATTTTGAAGTCTAATAGTTGACAGAATGAGTGAGTACAATTTACAAATAGGTTTACGTTCAAGGATAAACTTATTTAATAAATAATAATTACTAACTATTGAAATTTATCAAACACCCTACTTCATGTTTAATTACCTGTTTATTTAATTATAAATTACAAATAGTAGTCTTTCCCAAAGCCATCACAAGTAGTCTGAAAGGGATTATCCAATACTCGACTCATATTACGAGGATTCAAATCTCGCACTTTTATCTCATTATTATCTAATATTTGCGGTCATATTTAAATTCTATACAAGTTTTGCAATACATAACAATTTTAAACAATTGATAACTATTTAAAGATTTTAACAAATTTTTAAATGACATAAAAGTGGTGTTGGAGTGAAAATCAAACACAAATGTCTTCGGGAATCACATCCACTCCTATGGTAAGGACTGTATGGGAAGGTATGGAAAGGACAGTCAGTTGTGTTTGACTTGTACTTAAATTTCATTTTTATGTCACTTGACTAGTGCTTAAATAGACACTAGGTTAGATTACCTAGTTTATACACACTTTAAATATGATATTTGTTTTATAATGAGTTTAAATAAAAAATATGAAGCAATATTTTTTGGTTTTTATATTTAATAAACAAATATCAAGATTACTGTAATAATTATCTAACAATTATTACAGTAATAATTAATAGATTAAAAGTAGTAGTCTTTCCAAAATGTATCGCATATTGCATGAAATGGATCATTCAATACCCGGGTTGTATTGACTGGATTTAAATCCCGGACTTTTACCACATTATTATCCAACAGTTGCGGCCATACCTCATCCGGTTTTCTATCATTTTAAACACATTTTGAAATTATAAAACTCATTCATTGGACGACAAATTCATAATTCAATAGCAAATATACCCAAATTTTGCGAAATCGGTCCACATTTTCATGACTTGTCGACTGAGGAGGACGTCTTCAGGTTTGAAAATTTGTGGTAATCTGAAGGGTAACCCAAACACGTACGGGATATCCATGCCATGACACACACCCATAGTCTGTGGGTCGCAACCAAACAGTTTGGCCAACACTTGGTTCTCATGCGTGAGTTCATAAAAGTAGACATTTTGTCGGTTTTTGACGATAGTCTTGAACTGTTTGGCGAACAGATATGTCGGACACTTCATGAAGAGGTCACCGAAAAAGTCATAGAAAGCCCACCGAATGGCCACCGGATCCGATTGGTTAACAGTCTTCAGGTAAAAGTTGGTAACGTTTTGGACGTCCAGTCCGTGGAATATCTTATCTGTTTTGAGGACATCCTCCTTAAACCCATTGACAGTCATATTCTCGATGTGTTTCTCGATTACACTCGAGAGGGACGACCCCTCGTTTTGGATAACACCTGCCATTAAGTCAATGTCTAAATGTTGATAAAAAAATACTCATTTAGTGGTGTTATTCATAACAAGTATTGAATGGATTTGTGAATTGATTGCATGACATGAATGCAAACCTGAGTTGAATTTGTTGTCCAGAAATGCCTTTTGCGCGGAAAGTGGCAGATATTCAGTGCCCAACACCGGGAAAGTGAGGGATAAATAATACTTTAGGACTTCCTCGGCGTCGACACCTCTCAAACACTGCAACCATTGGCCAGAATCTGTACAATTCAGTTGTACTGCCATTTGTTTGGCCTGCAGTACAGCCTCTGATTGACTGATTACATCCCTGTCCTTGTTGTACATATGAGCACCGCTTTGCATAATAGCCCTCTTATATAAGCCCTTTGTTAGGGGTGAGAAAATCTGCACCGATACGGACCAACTGCCGGCGCTCTCACCAAATATAGTGATCTGATCCCTATCCCCGCCAAACAAATGAATGTTTTCTCTCACCTATAGTTTTGTCACAAAAAAGTTAATATTTATTTTATATAAAAATTAATTTTGTTTTAAAGTTTATACCCATTTAAGAGCCAATAACTGGTCGAAAAAGCCTACATTTCCCGGCGCCGACTCCACCCCAGCATATAAGTAGCCAAACGGTCCTAATCTATAATTTGTCGATACAATCACCACATCATGTGTGGCCAAAACACTGCCGTTATATGCAGTCATGAAAAATATTGTTCCCGATGATAGTCCGCCCCCATGAATGTAAAACATCACTGGTTTTAGTGCCGGTGCTTCAGATGACGTCAGGCTTTTGTTCACCACATTAGGTGTCCATACATTTAATACCAAACAATCCTCACTATACGTTAAGTTTGGTAACAGTTTCTTAGCATCAGGGTCCTCTATTTGCATACAGGAGTTCCCCAATTTTGTGCCATCGATTACATCCTAATTAAATGATTATAATTTATAATTTTATTGAATGTTTTGATTAATAATACCTTTTTTGGTGTTGTGAGTGGCACTGGTTTAGCAAACCTAAGCGCACCGACCGGTGGTTCGGCATAAGGTATACCCAAAAACTGGTCAACACTTGTGTTCAACACATCTATAGTGAGACCTCTCACTACACCTGATGTCGTGTTCANACACTTGTGTTCAACACATCTATAGTGAGACCTCTCACTACACCTGATGTCGTGTTCACATCAATACTATTTGCACATTCAATGCAAACAACTAAACACACAAAACTAACTAATAAATTAAATTTGTTAATCATGATTTATAGCTTAAAACATGAGTTATAAAACCAAATGCCTAATAGACTAAACAACATTCATTTATATACTATTTTAAAACCTAATCTCATTTTATTTACTAATATCAAAGATATCGTATTTTAGATAATTTTGAAGTCTTATATTAATATGATAGTTAGCAGACTGAACGAGTACATTTTACAAATAAGAGTACTTTCAAGGATGAACTTATTTAATAAATAATCAATAACTATTTATCAAACACCCTACTTTACTGTTATGTTTAATTACCTGTTGATTGTTTAAACTACGTATACCTGTATTGCATTAAAATATATTGAATTTCTGTTATTAAGTATTGGCTCCAATTCATGTACAATACTATACATTGTGACCAAAACTATGAAATTACATTTATTATTTTGATTATGTTTGTAAATTATGTCTAAATCTTTTAGCGAAATATTGTATTTTATTGATAATTTGCTATACATTAATGCTTATAAATTACAAATAATAGTCTTTCCAAAAGCCATCACAAGTGGTGTGAAAGGGATTATCCAATACTCGACTCATATTCCGTGGATTCAAATCACGGACTGAAATCTCATTTCTGACCAATAGTTGCGGCCAAATGTCATCCGGTTTACTAAAAAAGCCAATTATTTAATATCATTTAATAGACCTGGTTTAATAATAATATTTCTAAATCAATTTATACCCAGTTTTAGCAAAATTGGTCCACATTTTCATGATATCTCTACTGAAAACAGTCTCTTCGTGACTGAATAGATCCGGATTAATAAAAGGTCTCCCAAATACAAATGGTATGTCCGCGCTATGGCATACCTTTCCCGGTGGACATCCAGTGTCATTAGTCATGAATTGACTTTCAGACGTTAACTCATAAGAGTACACATTTTTGCTAGGTGCATTTGTGGCAAATTGTTTGGCAAACAAGTAAGTGGGACATTTGAATAGCAAATCGCTGATAAACTCAGCAAACGCCTGTTCAATAGCATCGGGATCTTCAGCGTCAACATTCTTGAGGTAAAATTGTGTCACATTTTCGGCGTCCAAACCGTGATATATAAGATTGGTTTCCGTAATCAACTCCTTAAAGCCGTCGACCGTTATATTCTTCATATAATGGAAGATAAGCGATGAGATACCTGAGCCCTCGTCCGATGTCACGCCCGCCAGTAAATCAATATCTATTAAAATATATATATTTAATACTCTATTACTTATAACAACCTTAAAGTAATTTTAACCGGAATTAAACTTTTTGGTCTCAAAAGCCTTTTGTTCAGAAATGGGAAGAAATTCTGTGCCTTCGACTGGAAATGTGAGCAAAGCCTCGGTTTTTAGGAATTCTTTTGCGTCCACTCCTCGTAAACATTGTATCCATTGTTCAGTTGTATTGCATTTCAGTTGTTCCGCCAATTTCTGGGCACTCGCTAAGGCTTCCGGTTTACTGATCACATCCCTGTCCTTATTATACATATGGGCCCCGCTCTCCATAATAGCCCTCTTGAATAGGCCTTTAGATAGTGGAGAGACTATATGTGCGGACACCGACCAACTGCCGGCGC